TTTTATTATTGAATTAAATTAAATCACTATTTTTAAAGACAATAATTTACAAATTTTTTTGGTGGCCTTAATATTTTTCATCGGTTGCCATAACCCTTAACCACATCGCTAGGCCAAGTCTGATCCAATCCAATCAATGTTCATAGGCTAGAATCACATGCTGGGCCCGGTTAAGAAAACTGGGCCGATTAATGGTATGGGTTGCACTAATTTAGCCAGGCTCATAGAATAGTCATATATAAACACACAAAGAATTTATCTACTGGGCTGGAATCAGATGATGAGCCCGGTTAAGAAAACTGGGCCAAATTATAAATAAATTTTTATGCTTTAAAACTAGAAAAGTGCTTTTTTAGTATAAACTGTATTTCTTTTATAGTTTAAAAACTGAAATTATTAAAATATCATTAATTAGTAAACATAGAAAACAATTTTAATTATTAAAGGTATTTTAGTTTATTTTTTTGTTCATCTAAAAATTAATTGTTTAGCATCATAGAGTTTTGAATTTCTAACATTATCTTAAATTAAAATTTTTAAATTAATAGATATTGATTTAATCAAACTCTTGTTGATTAAAAAATATTTTAATAATTTCATTACTGTAACTACATAAAAAAAAAATAATGTCTATACTCAAAAACACTTTTTTGTTCTAAAAGACTTTGCTCGTTTATTTTCTTTGATTTCATTCATGTTCAGTTAGAAGAAGTCCCTTTTTTTTTTCTAATTGAAAACTGATTTCCATCTTCATTTAATCAAGATTTTTTTTAATGAAGTTTTAGTACAATGATAATGAAAAGATAGAAACCTTAAAATCATGTATAATGTAGTAATTTGCAATTTAATTAGTTTGAAAAATAGTTTATATTAAGACTTAACTAGGTGACGTGTTGTTTAATTGTGTTCAATAAAAAAAAAAGAAAAGAAAAAAATAAAAAGAAAAAGAAAAGGCTATTCACCAAAGCTTATTTCCAACTTGCTTATAAGCATTTTTTTTCACGAGTTTGAAAATCATTTACGAGGGAAATGTTTATTTTTCTAAATTTAATGTAAAAAAAAGTAATCACGCTTTGATGAAACAAAAGTTTTGTACTGCTATATAAAAATTAAAACATAAATCCCAAGATCAGATCCCTAGTAATGGGCCGTTATATAATTTAAATTTAAAATTTTATCCATTAAGTTAGTAATTAAAAAAATTAATTATAGCAAATGCAATAGTCTAATCGTGTAAGCAAACTCTTAAAATACTTTAAAAAGAAATTAGGAGGCACAAAATTGACTTAAGAGAGTTTGATTTTTTATTTTTTATTTTTTATTTTTTTAATTTAAACTGGTATTTTTTAAATGCAAGATTCACCGTCAAAAATATTCCAGTTATTTTTCATTGGCAAAAAGTGCAGTAAAATATAATTTTTATAACTTCAGTAGAGTAAAAGGTTAAATGTCAATTTGGTCCCTCAACTTTAAAATTTTATATAATTTTTATTATAACTTTTTAATTACTTTTTTATTTCTTAATTTTGAAAAATATATTTTTTTATAATTTTTTTATCAATTAATCTATTAAATTTATTTAAATATACATATTTTTAATTCTTTAACTCTTAATATATATTTTTATCCCTTAATTTGAAATTAAAGTGTTAAAAATATATATTTAAATAAATTTAATGAATTAATTAAAAAAAAATTATTGAGAGACAGAAAATTATGTAAAATTTTAAAGTTGAGGGATCAAAATTACAATTTAACCTAAAGTAAAAACACAGGAAACACCAAGCGAAGACTGGTTGATAGCAATCGCAATTCTGTTTTCCTCCGTCGCCTCAGGCACGACACGCCGATCTCCGTTGTCAACGTCGTCTCCAATGTTCAAACTTCTCCTCTAAGCAAATCCCGATTACACATACTCCTCAACGCAAATCCCTGCCTCCTTATCCTGTCCCTTAATCTTCCCCCCAACCCTCCCCATCCACAAGTAAGGTCGAAATTTCTACCATCATTCATCATCTACCTTCGATTTCTAGGGTTTGAATTCAAGCTCGTTTAATAGACCGGTTACATTGATTTCTTTTCTTTTTCCTTAATTGAATGGAGAGTGCTGGTGATGAGGATGCCGATGCGGTGCTCAGCGATGTAGAAGCAGACGAGCCGGTGCCGATCGCGATAAAGGATGCTGCGAACGACGACGTTTCGGTTGAGAGATTCCGGGAGGTCCTTGCGGAGCTCGATCGGGAGCGGCAAGCGCGAGAAGTGGCGGAGAAGGAGAAATCCGAGCTTCAAATCTCGTTTCAGCGGTTGAAGGCGCTCGCTCACGAGGCCATCAAGAAGAGGGACGAGAGTGTCAGACAACGGGATGAAGCTCTTCGGGAGAAAGAAGATGCGGTGAAGTCAAATGAAAGCACGTCCGCGCAATTGGCCGAGGCTAATAGGATCAGAGACGAGGTTACCAAGCAGAGAGATGATATTGAGAAGCAGTTGGAAGAAGTAACTAAGGCTAGGGATGGATTGCGATCGGAGATTGAAAACTCTGCGCATATGCTTGTTTCTGGTATTGAGAAAATATCTGGGAAATTGAGTAATTTCAAGAATTTCTCTGCAGGAGGGTTGCCACGGTCAAATAAGTACACAGGATTGCCCTCGGTAGCGTATGGAGTGATCAAGAGGACCAATGAGATTGTTGAAGAGCTGGTTAGACAGATTGATACCACAGCCAAGTCTAGAAATGAAGCTAGAGCGCAGATAGAGCAGAGAAATTATGAGATTGCTATTGAAGTTTCTCAGCTCGAAGCTACAATTAGTGGATTAAGAGGAGAGGTTGAAAAGAAAGGTAATGCCATTGAGAATTTGGAGAAAAATGTAATTGAAAAGGATGCAAAAATTGCAGAGATTGAAAGAGAGATGTTGGAGAAGATAAATTTTCTGGAGAATGAAACTACTGGGTTGAGAAATTTGGTTGATGAGTATGATAATAAGTCGAGTGGTTTGGAATTGAAAATGGAGTCACAGAAGTCCTTGCTGGTTGATCAGTTGAATCTTGTGTCAAGAATTCACCAACGGATTTATGACGTTATTAAGATTGTTGATGCTGATAAGCTGGGTCAGTCGGATGTATTGGAGTCCTTTTTTCTTCCCCAGGAGACTGATTTGGAGGAGAACATACGAGCTTGTTTGGCTGGGATGGAATCTATTTATGAGTTGACAAATATGGTTGTTGAAAAAACTAGAAATTTAGTTGAGGAGAAAAATAGGGAAGTGAAGAGTTTGAAAGAAATGGTGGGTCGATTGATTAATGAGAAAGAACATATTGGTTCTTTGCTTAGAAGTGCTTTGTCCAAGAGGATGACTTCTGATACTAATTCCAAAACAAATGAACTGTTTCAAGCTGCGGAGAATGGTTTAAGGGAGGCTGGGATTGACTTCAAATTTGGTATGCTTCTTGAGGGTGGAAATAAAGCCGAGGCTCAGGAGACAGAGCATGATGAAATTTACACTTTGGTGAGCCTTTTGCTAATGTTGATATCTATCTTCTATTTTTCAGCGATGTTGATATCTCTTGAGTACCTTGCAGGTTGTATAGCATCTTAATTCCTAAATTTTTGTTGCTAAGATTCTAATGTATTTTGTACAGGCTGGTGCGTTGGAGAATATTGTCAAAACATCTCAGCTTCAGATCATTGAGTTGCAGCATTCATTGGAGGAAGTAAGGTATTTTTTATGTCTCAAACTCATAAAGCTGCCGATAACTGTAACGTTTCTGAATTCTCATTCATTCAAAACATCGAAATTGGATCAACAGAATCATTAGTCGGTTGAAGGCTAATTTAGTTCACTGTCCAGAATTATTCAACACGGACTGACTGATATCATCTTTTGTGCATTCCTTTATGTTTTAAGGGCAGAGTCAAGTTTACTTAAAGAACAAATAGAGGTCCAAGCCAAGGAACTCAGCAATAGGATGCATCGAATAGAAGAACTTGAAGAGAAAGAGAGAGTGGCAAATGAAAGTGTAAGTTAATATGTTTCTTGTTTAACTTTAAATGATGTAGTTCCTTGCATTTCATAATAGAGATGGAAAAACTAGCTTTTTAATTGCTTCATCCCCCACAGACTAAACTGGCAAAAGCTGTGTTCAAGAATTTCTGGTGAAATATTAAATCTTTACATGACCTGTTTTAATTATTGAAGGTTGAAGGGCTTATGATGGACATTGCTGCTGCTGAAGAAGAAATTACAAGATGGAAAGTGGCAGCAGAGGATGAAGCTGCTGCAGGCAGGGCTGTTGAACAAGAGTTTGTAGCACAGGTGGGCTTTCTTGGTGAAACCAACAAAAATTGTTATTGAGAATAGCTGGCTTCTTATGAACAGATTTCTCTAGGAATTCTGAAAATAGTTTAACACAGTTTTTTCTTTTTGGAAAGATATGCTGGGTGATTCTTAGTGACACATTGTTAGTAATACACTGAGCACTTTAATATGTCCATTCTATCCTCTTATTATTTATTTATTTGAGAATATGAGAAAATTGTTGTCACTATTTGGAAAATTTAGAATGGTGCATGTCCCTGTAATGCCCTGGTTGTGGTCCAAACCTTGTGTCCTTCAGAATCACTAGATGAACTGATTTTCCATTTTATTCGCAGATGACAAATGAAATTCTTTTAATTTTCTAGAATCATGGCATTTTTCTCATGTTCCTTTGTTTATTATGTTTACCAAAGCTACTACTTATTACTTTATTAATACCTGTTATTGAAAATATGCTACACTTACACCTAATTACTCTTCTTTATTGTAATTTCCAGCTCACAGCTGTTAAGCAGGAGCTTGAAGAGGCACGCCAATCAATGTTGGAATCAGAAAAGAAGCTAAAATTCAAAGAAGAGACAGCTGCAGCTGCCATGGCGGCCAGGGATGCGGCCGAGAAATCATTGAGATTGGCAGACATGAGAGCATCCCGGCTGAGGGATAGAGTTGAGGAACTTAGCCGCCAGCTTGAAGAGTTTGAAACACGAGCAGACTTGAGAGGTCGACACGGGTCCAGATATGTGTGCTGGCCATGGCAGTGGCTTGGCCTAGACTATGTGGGGTCCCGCAGACCTGAGACTGAACAACAGAGTTCAAATGAAATGGAGCTTTCAGAACCCCTTCTCTGATTATACGTTTTTCTTTTAACTTTAACCCTTTTATGTGTATTTACCGGGAATTCCAAGTGTAAGGTTCAATAAATGTCTATTTCATTTTTAAAGGTTTCTTTTTATGCAATAATTGTGAATTTATAATTTTAACATGATGAAAGTTATTTCAAGTGCGTTTCTCTTGTAAAGTTCACAAGGTGGCAATTATTATAGAATTAAAAGTCCTGAAGATTCTACTCAAATTCCCTACTTATCTTCCCATTTTTATCAGGGCTTGTATCCTCAGAATT